ACTGTGAGATGAGGAAAGGGACTTTCAACTCAATCCACGTAGGGTACATTACGTGTAACTAACTAGCAACCCAAGCCATCTTATCAGCTGTGACGAGTCGTCAGCTTGAGGAAACCGGTCTTGTGAGCACAAAGGAATTTCTTACAAGCCTCACATTTAGCATGACGAATGTTCGCTTTAATACATGCATTCACCCGCGCCTTCTCCCTGCCTTCCCCCTGGAACGGCTACATCTAACCCACTATCTCCTATTTCCTCAACTCACTTGTAAAAAAATAACTATAAAATCACATGTTTCAACTTGTAACCCAGTGCCATATAAATGTACCGGCTTGAAAGCACACGTATACTCGCGCCACTAGCTGACCTCCTGATATTCATATCGTGATAAGTGAATGCAAGATTGATTTCTGGAGGTGTGAGTCTACTTGTTAAGACGTGAGGCTACATAAAAGGCCAGAGACAGTGAAGGGGGCGGTAACAAATGTTCGGTTGTGTGTTGTTCCACAGTTAGCCCTGCCAGCCGAAAGGGGTGCCGTGTAGTCCAAACACCTGCTATATGTTGCCTGGCAGAGAATCGGGCTGACACGCATTGAGCACGTTCGCGTGGCAAACGCACGCCAAATAACCGTGTTGTACAGTTTGGTCAAGGCAGATCGATGGTAGAAGGGGACAGGTTTTACTACCTAGCCCACACGCGTACAGCCAGGACCCTGCGTGACTGATATAAATGGAAACGAACAAAAATGCACACACACATGTAGTAGTAGCAGAGGGACAAATAAAATAGGATGAAACACGGCCCAAAGATAGTTGGATTGCAATGGGGGTGAGTTAAGTGTCCACTTGCCGGTCACTGTACGCAAAAGCGTACGCAGACGATGGGATAGGGGTTGCAGTAATTTTAGTCGAATTACGGTTACTTTCGGCGGATAAAAGCGAATACGCTAGTTTCTGGAAGTAACAGGGAAGAGGTAGACGGGATCGCTGGGCTGAACGCAGTAACGCAGGGGCTCTATACGAGCACGCGGAGACACACTGCAAAAGGCCGCCCGCGCAACATTGTCAACCCTCGCAGGCAAAAACGACACGAGACCAAATTTGGACAAGTAGTCTCATGCGTGACGAAAGTCTCAGAGGCCGTCAGCCGCCTTCTAACACCCCTTGAGGTTGGGGACGCACAAACATCAAAGACACAAGGTCACGGAGCAGAAAGACTCACTGCCACGGCAAGAAAGGGCTAGGGTCACTCACCGGGTCTGCTGCAGTTGTGAGCCATGTAATTATATCGGCTAGTAGTCTAGGCAGATAGCATTGCCGAAGAAACACGTGTCTGAGCCTTTGAGCTAGTACCCAGGTTGTTAGTATGGTAAGTTACAACATGAAAAGCACTCTGAATTTTTCGAATTCTTTCCTTGAACACTTTTGGATGATGCGTTTGAATCGCCCTTCCCGCTCATATTGGTGGTTTATTGCTGATCTGTGGCATAAAGCGCATGTTGTTGACGTGGTTAAACCAGTTCGCATATATTTCTATGGTGGACAGTCATTACTAATTGAATAAATCAGTGTAAGAAAATAAAAGACGTAAGAGAAGACAGGCACTTCGGGTACTAGTTCAAAGACCTACCCTGATTATCAGGTGTACCATTGGTTTTGCCACTTCGGTCACGAAGCTTCATCAAGTTAACCTGCATAAATGAATGCAAAACCAAGGAGCAATTAAATAGGCGACAAGAGAACAAGCACATTAGCAGCGCGAAAATTGGGACATAATAGGTAAAGGTGAAGTCAATTTCGAACCCAACTCAACCGTGCGCCTGTAATCGAGTCAGGTTGTATTTACAGTTACAGAGAACTAACCTAGATGAAATTTACGGGTTACCACCGCATGGGGCTATCCATATGACATAACCTACAGTGGATGTGTGAGCAGACACAACACTCTGCGGCTCCCGATAGGGCCTCCTAGCTCGTTGGCTGTACTGAAACCGAGACAGACAACTTTTTCTCAACTGGAATAAACGAGTTTTTCAAATATGCCCAAACACCCTATAAATTAATTGTACCTGGTAGTAGTCTGATAGATTCTAGATCGGTTGCTAAGGAAATCTCGCTTGCGCAGAAGTCAGCTTACTGCATCTGAATAGGTGGATTAGAGAGCTGTAGTAGGCTAGCTCAAGTGTGGTTGAAC